AAGCCCCGCCAGAGTGGATACTGAAGCCTAGGAGGCGCCTAGAGTGAGGGCTGCTAGCACCTTGTCACCTCTCAGTATCTCCAACTCTTAGCACAGGGCCTGGCATGTAAAAGACATTGAATATTTGTGGAATGAGTCAAGAATGAATGAATGCATGGTTATAGTGTGTAAGTAAATATGTTATGGTTCACTTTTCTTATTACCTCCACTCTGATGTCTACCAGATTTTGTTAGATCTTGAATATGTTGACACACATCAGTGTTAAGCAGGTAGATAAATATTGATGTCTTTACTTGATTCACATTGACAGTAGTGAAGAAAATACAAATGGGCAATTGAAACAATGGATTAATCCTAACGAAACCCCACAGTTTCATACAGGAGCCGAAAAGAGGAGTGCATGTCACCTTTACAGTAACTTTTCACATTTGACTAATAGTTGCTCACAGTTACTACTTCACTTGATTGTATTATGCGCAAATAAAAATGGCTTTTAAAGTAATTTAAAGCTACTATACAATATAAACTTTTGAAATTACTGGGTTGAGTCTGGAAGTCATGTGGTAGGTAAATCTATACAGTATTTATGTTCCAAACTGAAATGAGATACCCCATGGTACCTGATCCAGGCTAGCTAGAAATCTATCGTATTTCCACCTGAATAAGTGAGTAGGGTATAATGTTTTGTTACTATACAAGTTACTATTAATCACTTTTAAAATAACTAAGTCACTCATAGATAGGCAAGTGATGTGTAACAATATAACCATAGTAATTAAAATTAAGAAGAGGCATTTAGATAATCTAACTCTATAGGTCATGATCTCTTAAGAAGCTTCTTTTTCTTTTGTATTTTTTTTAATTTTTCTGATACTTCTCCTTTTATTTTTCTGATGCTTCAATATGTTGTTGACCATGGCTTAAATTAACAGATCAGATTATGTTGAAGGGGGTAGGGGATTCACTGGAGAGGGATCCAAGGGAAATTTTTATTGTTGATTAAAATGCTCTATTTCTTAATTGAGGTAGTAGTTACATGAGTTTAAGCCATTTAACTGTACCTTTAAGAGCTGTGCATTTTATTTTATGTACATCTCGATTTTTTAAAGTATTGGGGGAAAATAGACAGGTAAGCAAGTTCATATTTTCACAAGATTCCCGTTTTTTTCTGAATTTGAGCTGAGTATGCTCTCAGCTTAAAAACTAAAGGGAATTTATTCTTTTAAAAAATATGTAAGCTTTGCTACTGCTTGATTTTTATGTTATAACAACAAATCTTGGCAAGAAAAAAATACAGGTTTCAAGTGTCTTCAATTGGCACCAATCTGTCTCTGTGAATGAAATGATAGTAGAATTGAAGAAAACCAAATCTTCACTTAGGGAAAATTGTTTTTAGCCTAAAAGTTCAGCCTACCATTGTCTGTTAATATTAACCAAAAGAAAAAAAAAATGATCGATTCAAGTACACCTTATTTTACACAGACTGTTATTCAAAAAAAAATTTTTTTTTGAGACCAAGTCTCGCTGTCACCAAGTGGTACGATCTGAGCTCACTGCAATCTCCACCTCCTGGGTTCAAGCGATTCTCTTGCCTCAGCCTCCTGAGTAGCTGGGACTACAGGCATGAGCCACCACACGTGGCTAATTTTTTGTATTTTTAGTAGAGACAGGGTTTCACAAAGTTGGCCAGGTTGGTCTTGAACTCCTGACCTCAAATGATCTGCCCACATCAGTCTTCCAAAGTGCTGGGATTACAGACATGAGCCACTGCAGCCAGCCGTTATTCAAATAATTTTTAATGCATTAAATGAACTATTTCAAATAATTTTATAATGATATTTATTTTTGGCTAAGTCAGGTACCTGTAGTGATATGGGCAGTCTAGTATTCTTTATATATCACTTTTTATTTTATTATTATTATTTGTAGAAACAGGGTCTTGCTATGTTGTCCAGGCTGGTCTAAAACTCCTGACCTCAAATGATCCTTCTGCCTCAGCATCCCAAATTGCTGGGATTACAGGTGTGAGCCACCATGCCCAGACTGTATATCACTTTTTAGATGCATTATATATATATATATATATATATATATATATATATATATATAAACATCTCTGAAATCAAGAAGCTCCATACCATCAATGGCATCTTGCCTTGGCATTAGCCAGGCAGCAAAGAGGGCTTGCACATGCATTATTTTGTCATTTCCTTGATGACTTGATTTCTGAGATCATGAAATCTTACAGAATGACAAAATGACTATTAACATCTTGGAAAGAAGTCCTGGAGGTATTAGTGGAGTTTTGGGGGGAATTGTTTGTTTGTTTGTTTGTTTCTTAAGTAATGCAGTTTCACCAATGCTGTCAAAGAAACAAAGGATAATACATATGGAAGAATATAGACACAAATGCCACTGAGTTGAAATGTGGTTCACAGACATGGAATGTTAACAAGTTTTGGGAATACTGTAGCCAAGTTTTGACTGATATCTTCATTTCTATGTATGAATAATACTGATATTTGATCATATACATCTAACTAAATCTAAAAGAGCTTTTTCAAGAAGTATAAAATAAAAATTTCAAGCAATAAATAAGCCAGAGTATAATTGGCAGCTATTTTCTTTTGTAGAGCTACATAAAATAGTGGCCCATCTCACAATTGGTGGCACCTTAGATTCTATGAAAACTGATCTTTATCAGTTGGCTTTGTGTCTGTTGGCTTTTCAGCCAGGGTTATGGTGGAAGAGTAGGGATGAAAGACCTGGAATCAAATAATATCTTTAAATGTATAACAATAACCGTACCATTTATTGAGTAGCTACTATAGGCCAACAGTTATGCTAAGTGCATTATGTACATTGTTGCATGTTATTCTTCCCCAAAACCCCAAAAGGCAGTTATTATTGAACTTTTATTCCTTCAGAGACATTAAATAATATGTCCAAGGTAAAATTGCAAAGCAGAATTTGAACCTAGTTTTGAGTAACCCCCCCTCAAAAAAAAGCTCTTACTTTCTGTTCAGCAACTTCCCTCACCCCACCCCCAACATCCCTAGGAGTTCAAAGTGAAAGCTTAAAGAAGGTGCTGAGAGCTAGAAAGAGATAGAGAGAATGAGAATCCCAGCAACATTCAGTCACTGTTCAGGTTGTTCTCAAAGCCAGCTTTACCTTTGATTTGGTGGTGCAGCTCTTTCTTCAATTATGTAAGATACCTTAGAATCCTAATATCAAAGCATCCTCTTTTTTTACCTTAGCTAGTTCTATTTGGGATTTTATTCCTTGTAACCAAAAGCATACCATTGTAATGTATACCATTTATACATTTTACTAGTAATAATAAAACATTACTTTTCACACACCTCTAACAGCCAGATTTGAGCCTTGCTGTCTCACTTCTTTAAAAGTGCAATGAATGAAGCTGGCTGTTTCAGTTACAAGTCTGTGGCTTTGGAAGCATCTGATTCTCTGTAGATTAAACTATGCCCTAATCAGCACTGGGTAAGAAGCAGTAAAATAAGCACAAAGAACTTAGACCATGAGTCAGCTCAGTTTTCCTGAGCAGCTCTGTTTTAGTGCAAGTTGCTTAACTTTGATGAAAGTTTCCTCCACTGTAAAAAGATGCAAATTACACGATGATTTCTGAGAACCTTTCTGGTTTTTAAAATTCTTTCCTCTCGCACAGATTAAAGTCATCCAGACATTGCATGGGTTACATGTGAGTATATCCAGTGGATTTCATGGCCCATTTCACTCCCAGTTTCTTTGATCATATGTATTGTCGTCTTAATAGAATTCAAATTCAGTATTGTCAAGTGATATGCTTAACAAAATTAAATGAAGACAATGCCATTGTGCTCAGTAGTGAGAATTTCTAAGAACTATGAAATACCTATGGATGAAATAAAAGAATAAACTGATGTTATAAACCTTATCTCCAACTACCTCATGATAGTTTTTATACTATAAGACTTGTGACTGGGGGAAAGGAAAAATCACTAAGTTCTGAAATGGTGCAGAGAGTTTCCATTCTCCCTGCAGTTGAAGTCAGATCTTCAAAGCTAGATAATGAGAAGGAAATGGAAATGTTCTTGTTTTTCCTCATGGACTATTGATTTTATTTATTTTTTTCTTTTTTGAGACAGAGTCTTGTTCTGTTGCCCAGGCTGGAGTGCAGTGGCACAATCTAGGCATACTGCAACCTTCAACTTATGGGTTCAAGCGAGTCTCATCTCTCAGCCACCTGAGTAGCTGGGATTACAGGAGTACACCACCATGCCCAACTAATTTTTGTGTTTTTTGTAGCGACAACGTTTTGCCATGTTGGCCAGGCTGGTCTTGAATCCCTGGCCTCAAGTGATCCACCTGCCTTGACCTCCCAAAGTGCTGGGATAACAGGTGTGAGCCACAGCACCCAGCTTGATTTTAACTTTTATTACCAAAATTAAATGTGGGATTGCTTTTGTCACCAAAATCATGACCTTTTAAAAGCCCACCTTAATAAGTAACTTGCAATTATAAAAAAGTTTGCGTACTCAATCTTAGCCAATTGATACAGTTTTACAAATCAAAAACTAAACTCCTCAGCCAAAATGTTGACTTGGAAAAACAAAGCATAGGATGCAATTTGGAAATTATTATATTATCGTTTCTCTCAAAAGCACAAATCATTTTTTTTCCAACAAAAGTAGAATTGATTCAATAAAGAGCATTAAAGTTATAATGTATTTGAGGGGATGCAACTCAATATATTTTTATATTTAATGGTGTCATATGATTCACTGAAAGAACCATTTCCAAAGTCAGTAATATTTATGGCTTGGAATTTTTGATAGCTTTGTATTGATTCCTAACCTACTGATACTTAAGCAATTATTCAGGGGTATGATTTCCGTCATGTGTTCATTACTTTGGGTAACATTTTAAGAAAGGGAAATCAAGGAAAGGAACAAAACTATATTTACTAAATACTAATTATGTCCACTGTTTTCATCCGCAGAATGAATACAGGAATGTCTGTCTGCCTGTCTGTGCATACTCTGTGAAGCAATACACCAGCATTACATGCTGACCCAAGGATAGCCAGTACGCCTTCTGCAAGAGGAAAGTTTGTGTTTCAAAATCCATCAAGGTAAATCTTTGGCTGCCCACACTCATATCCCCAGACATCAGAGAATCTTAGTCATCCACATGTAGTGAGGCCCAGCTACGGTGCTAGTTCCAACAGTACATAAATGGCTGTGACTGCCAGGAGGAAGCTGACTCAGTATGGCTCCCCAGTCGCTAGCAGTGGTGATATTCACAATATTTAACAGTGAATGCAGCTTGAGGCCTGGCCAATCTAACAAACACTAGGTATAAACATCTCTGCTGGCTGGTGCAGTGCACCCTGGCTGAGTGTCAGCCCCAGCAATTGAGTGTCAGCTTGAGCAACCAGTGCAACTTTAGAGTTTACAAATACACTTAAAAGTATATTATCTCATTTAGTCCCCCAAAATTATGTTATGTAGGTATTATTACTTTTCTCAATTTATGGGTGAGAAAATTGAGGCTTACAGAGGTCAAGTAATTTTCCCTAGGTCACACAACTAGTAAGTGGTAGAATTTAGATGAACTATGGCTGACCAGCACAACCAGTTTGCTTTCTTCTGCGGTTTCTCTTCTATTCCCAATGCTAATTATAGAGAGCAGAAACTCTCTAATTTTTTACACTATACTACCTATTCAGAAGTCAGAAAATGAAAAGTGACAATTAGGCCAGGTGCAGTGGCTCATGCCTATAATTCCAGCATTTTGGGAGGCTGATGCAGGAGGATCACTTGAGCCCAGGTGTTCAAGACCAGCCTGAGCAACATAGCAAGATCCTGTCTCTACAAAAAAAAAAATTAAAAATACACATACACCTGTGGTCCCAGCTATTCAAGAGGCTGAGGTGCAAGAATGACTTGAGCCCAGAAGGTCAAGATTACAGTGAACTGTAATCATACCACTGCACTCCAGCTTGGCTGACACAGCAAGACCCTGTTTCAAAAAATAAATATTAAAAAAAAGATCTTGATCCAGTACTTCAGCTTTGTGTTATTCAAATCACTCAGTTACAAGTCGTTTCCACTATATGACTTTTTACTTGGCCTGTGGAAATGTTAATGACTGTGCAAAGAAACATGTGAATAAGACACGTTCAATATTATTTTCGTGAGGCTCTTCTTCACTGCTCTCAACTTCTGCTACCATCAGCATGTTAATCTGTATTGAAAAAAAATGAACCAAATAGCTAGCTTCCTGGATAAAATTTATCCTACGAGTTTAATCTTAGTAGGCAAGGCATGAAGTCATTCAGTCTTTTTTTTTTTTTTTTTTTTTGAGATGGAGTCTCGCTCTGTCACCCAGGCTGCAGTGCAGTGGTGTGATCTTGGCTCACTGCAACCTCCACCTCCTGGGCTCAAGCAATTCTCCTGCCTCAGCCTCCTGAGTAGCTGGGACTACAGGTGCATGCCACCATGCCCAGGTAACATTTTGTATTGTTAGTAGAGACGGAGTTTCACTGTGTTAGCCAGGATGGTCTCGATCTCCTGACCTCATGATCCACCCGCCTCGACCTCTCAAAGTTACAGGTGTGAGCCACCGCACCCGGCTGTCATTCAGTCTTTTTAAGGATTAAAAATCCATTTATCTTGGGGAGACGAGACAAAACTCTGATGCATAAAAATTCCAAATAATTTATGTAGAACCTCACCCTCAAGGAGGAAGAATACAATTGCCCACTCCTTGAGTACAGACTTCACATAGTGACTTCCATCCATAAGGACAGTACGAAAAGAGAGTGGGGAAGGAAGAGTAACTTAACAGTGGAGAAACCTGACAAACACTATATTGGCCATGTGATCAAGGTCAACATCGACAGCGATAAGTAATGTTGGCAGTATGTACCCTTGATGTGAGGGGATTAAAGTGATACTTTACTTCTGTGGTCTTCCTCACCCAAACCCACAACCCCAGTTTAATAGTGAGAAAAGCGTCAGACAAATTCCAGTTGAGGTACATTCTACAAAGTACCTGACCAGTACTCCTCCAAGCTATCAAGGTCATCAAAAACAAGAAAAATCAGAGAAACTGTCACAGTCAAGATGAGACCATGAAAAAATAAACTTTGGCACATGAAAATTTTAGAGTTAATTTGAGCAGTGAGCAATTCATGAATCAGGCAGCACCAAACCACATGTGGTTTGGGCTCCATAGAGGGGGTATGAGGAGAACGCTTTTATGAAGTGTTCATAGAAGCAATACAAAGAAAATGTTTGACTGGTTAAAGTGAGACAGTATCCTTCAAGTCTCTAGTTGGCAGTTTCTGATGAGTAAAGTTACTCTGAGATGGGTTTCAAGGTTTGCTTACACAGAAACCCAGAACACAGATCTCTCTCAGCCTCATGGCTTCCCAGAAACCTCTCAGCCTAATGGCTTCCCAGTTACTTTTGTTTTTTTTTAAACATAACTAAATGTTATGTATCCTGGATGGGATCCTGTAATAAGGAAGGGATATTAGGTAAAAACTAAGAAAACCTGAATACAGTATATATTTTAGTTAATAATAATGTATGAATATTGATTTATTAATTATAACAAATGTATCATATTGATGTTAAGATAATAGGAAGAGAAGTTGGGTGCAAGGTGTATTAGAATTGTCTGTACTGACTGCAACTTTTCTGTAAATCTAAAATTGTTTTGAGATATGACGTTTATTTTTAAAATAATTCACTTAGCATTTTGGCATTTCAATAGTTGATCGTGATATACCAGTCCCTTGGTTAACTCAAAATTCCTAAAGAGACCGATAATAAAAGTGAGGTTGGAAATCCTCAAAGCCACACTTTCTTCTGAGGAAGCCTACCTCCAACATTGTCACTCCCCACCCTCCACCCTCCCCCAAGCCCCCAACCCCCCCACCCCAAACACACACAGCATCCCCTCACAGTATCCTTTCATGGCCAAGGTTCCTGCAAGACAAGTACAGCTGTCCCTCCCTATTCCTGGATGACTGGTTCCAGGACCTTCCTGTGATACCAAACTCCAAGGGTGCTCAAATTCCTGATATAAAATGGCATAGTATTTGCATACAACCCATGTACATCCTCCAATATACTTTAAATCTTCTCTAGATTACTTATAATGCCTAATACAATGTAAATGCTCTGTAAATAGTTGTTATACTGGATTGATTAGGGTATAGTGAAAGAAAAAAAAGCTGTACATGTTCAGCATAGGCACAATTTTTAAAATATTTTCCATCTGAGGTTGGTTGAATACGTGGATGCATAGTACATGGATACTGAGGGCCAACTGCAGTCTCTACTTCACCTCTCACTCACTCTTCAAACCACTGCAGTCATGTGTCTACCCAGCAATGACTCAAAGTCCAAATCCAGTGGATTCTCCTCAGTCTTCATCTTACTTAACCTGAGGAAGATTGAAAGTACTGATCACTCACTACTTTGAAACTTCCAGTTTCCTCACCACAGTCTCCTTGGTTCTTCTTTTATCACTCCTTCTCATTTACTAATATAGCAAGATACTCACCTTTCACCATTTTTTATTTTTGCCTTTTAAAAGGTGACAGAACTTGAGCTTCTTGTTCAGAAGGGTTATATGAATAAAATTCTAAGTTATGCAAATGTAGGGTGAGTGGCAGCTAGCATAAGAGGATGTTCCCCATGGAATGCCTTCTTCCTCACTGCCAGAGTAATAGATCCAACTTGTTCAATAACAAGTATGTTCCTGGTGGTCTTTGGTTAGAGAGCATTGGCAATTTTTGTCCTATATATAAGTAAAATACTAAACACATTTATATTATTGCTTATGTGATTAAGTGACTTTAAGTAAAGAATGGGAGGAAGTCACACACATACCTGATAGTTGATCTGTACATTGGCACACAGCCAGTACTTACCAAGTAATTAAACATTGCTTTATGTTGTCTATTATCCTGTCTAATCATTTCAGCATGTTTTTTGATATTACTTACATTATTAGCTATTAAACAGTTACACTAAACAAGAGATTTCTCCAGACAGAAGGAAGATTTTGCCTTACTTGTTTTAAAAGAGAGTTCAAATAGGGGTCTGATTAGATGTAGCTCAGGTGCTGCTCTCTTGCACACATTTGGGAAGCCCGAGCTTATGGATGGCAATTATAGTGTGTATTGCAGGATGGATACAGCACTTCAGACAGTGAGAAGATCAAGATACTGAGCTACTCTATGGAAGCAAGAGCCCACCATTCCTTTCAGAGGGGTTTGCTCTGGTTACATTAACTCTTCCTTTATCTTCTTCTACAACAGTCTACAAACAGATATAGACAGCTTCTCTGTGAAGGAAGTTTTCTGTCAAAATTAGAGAAGGACCAAATTTTACCTCTGGGTTCTTTCAATAAACTGGGAAAGTCTGAATTTTTATAGGCTATCAAGACGGGGTTGTGTTTCTATCCAATTCTGTCTAGATCTTAAAAAAAGGGAGAAACTCCAGGTTGGCATCTGGGTTGTACATGTTATCTGAAAAATCAACGGAAACTTTTTGAATTCAAGTGGAGAGTAGAAGTGGCTGCAAGTAGACTATGAACTCTTTGAGGAGGAACTCTTCTGATATGGTTTGGCTGTGTGTCCCCACCCAAATCTCATGTGGAATTGTAATCCCCGTGTGTCAGGGGAGGCACCTGGTGGGAGGTAATTGGATTACGGGGGCAGACTTCCCCCATGGTGTTCTCATGACAGTGAGTTCTCACAAGATCTGATGGTTTAAAAGTGTGTGGCAGGAGGACTCTTCCAAGATGGCCAAATAGGAATAGCTTTGGTCTGCAGCTCCCAGTGAGACTGACAGAGAAGATGGGTGATTTCTACATTTCCAACTAAGGCATCTGGTTCATCTCATTAAGACTGGTTGGACAGTGGGTGCAGCCCACAGAGTGTGAGCCGAAGCAGGGCAGGGCATTGCCTCACCTGGGAAGCACAAGAGGTCAGGGGATTTCCCTTTCCTAGCCAAGGGAAGCTGTGAGAGAGACTGTACCGGGAGGAACAGTACACTTCTGCCCAAATACAGCACTTTTCCCACAGTCTTCGCAACTAGCAGACCAGGAGAT